ACGTGTAGCCGAATTTTCGGCATCAAGGGGCACTTACCAAGCCTTGCGGGACCGTCAGACAACGACTCGGGATGAGAAACCGGTCCCGGGGAATGGGCCGAGACCTTGGGGCTTTCGGCCTCCGGGGGCCCTTCCCGGGCCTCGGGACCAAAAAAAAAACGGCTCGGGATGAAAAAACGGTCCCTGGGAACAGGTCGAAACCTCTCGGGGTCGACGTCATGACAAAAATCTGTCGTAGGAGCAAGAGGAGGAAGAGGAAGAGGAAGAGGAAGAGGAAGAGGAAGAGGAAGAGGAGGAGGAGGAGGAGGAGGAGGAGGAGGAAGAGGAGGAGACGAGGAGGAGGAGGAGGAGGAGGAGGAGGCGGAAGAGGGGGAGGACGAGGGCGGAGCTTCTGTGGGGGGAGGGGGTGGGGAGGGAGCGCGAGAGAAGGGGGGGCGCGAGGGCGAAGGGCGATGTTGGGGTCGAGGTGGGAGGGGGGAGGGCGAGGGCATGGCAAGAGGGAGGAGCGAGGCGGGGTAGGGCGAGGGGGTTGGCGAGGGGGAGGAAGGAAGCGATGTGGGAGCCGGGGGAAGGAAGGGGAGGCGGATGAGGAGGGGAAGGTTCGCGAAAATCGAACCAAGCTGGACGCTTTCCCAGCGCGCCACCCTGGACCAGGGAAAACCCCGGCTGGTCTGGGAAACTGGGGAAGTCCTGGGCTTGCATGGAAAAGCGCAGAGGCAGGGGAGGAGCGGGGGAAAGGGGGAGCAGGACCACGCAGGGAGGAGGCTGGCGTGCGGCGCTCGAGGCGGACGTGCCGGCGTGCTGCCTGGAGGAAGGCGGAGGAGCGGCGGGGCGGGGCGGCGCGGGAGGCGCGCGGGAAGGCGGGCGGGGAGACGGGGAGGCTGAGGCGCGGAGGGGGCCGAGGGGATCGAAGGGGGGGGGCACTGGGCAGAGGCCTACAGGGCCCGCGGAGGCGCGCGCGAGCGAGTGGCCGCGGCCCGCGCCCGAGCGGGCGGACACGGCCTGCGGGGAGAAGGTGCGCCGGGGCGGGCTGCTCTGCCCTGCTGCAGGGGGGAGGGGGGGCCCCCTGCCCTTCCGGTGGGGGGGGGTCCGCGACGGGGCCCGCGCGCTCCCACGGCAACCCGAGGCGCCGCCGACGCGCCCCGCGGGGTGAGGATGCTGACGGCATCGGCCACGCTGGCGTCGGCGGCAGCCGAGACGAGAACGGCGGCGGCGGCGGCAACGTGGAGGCCCGAGTTATCCCGGACAGATCTGGGATAATGCCAGTCTGGGGTCGCTCCAGCTCGGACGCCCGAGGCACGAACCAGGAGCTGCCCTAGACCACCCCCAGCCATGACTCTTCGGGGCTCTGAGCAACTGGCGGGGACGACGACGGCGTCGACGGCGTCGACGCCGACGGCCACATGGGCGTCGACGGCGGCGGATGGCGACAGCGGCGGCGGCAACGAGCGGCCACCGCTCGGCGGCGGGCCGCAGCTGCAGGCCCCCCCCCTCCCCCGCGCGCGGAGCGCGTCCTCCTCCGCGCGCCCCGCGCTGGCGGCACCGCGGGGCGGCGGGGGCGGCTGGAAGCGGAGCAGCCTGGGCGGGTGGCTGCCGAGGGCCACCACCTGTGCGGGGCGGGCTCCGCTGGTGGCCGTCGGTCGGGCATCGGCAGGGCAAGGGTAAAGTGGGATGCCGCACACAGGAGCAGGAGTGGGGGGAATTGTGGTACCAATGCTGGGCTGGGCACGAGAGCCCTTGACGGGATCATGCCGGAAGCCATGTGCGAATCCCTGCGACGATCGGGCTTCGCCAGCGGCGTCGTGGACATGACACGCTCCATATACGCAGCTCGCTTCTTCACCCTCCTGGACCACACTGGAAGCTCTACGGAGAGGAGACAAACAGCTGGGCTCGCGCAGGGGTGTCCGCTGTCGCCGTCGTTGCCCATCGCAATGCGTACGGTCATGTTGCACGGCGCGATCATGTCGTTACATGCTGAATATCTTAAGCTGCACCTGTATATGTGATAACCTGGAGACGGGGTGCCAAGCACCTCTGCAGGCCATGCTCAACGCCATCGTAGAAGACGGGCGCAAGTATTACTTGGAGCACAACTGAGGCAGAGGGTCTAAATGCAGACTTCCACACATAGAGAAGTAACAAGACCAGACGGATATGATCAAGACAGTGCGAGACGTAACATATTTAGGAAGTTCAGAATCGTGTGATGAGAGATCTACAACTGAAGTGCGCATAACATTGGGAGAAACAGTAAGTACCACAGCCAAACGGCTCGATACACTCTGGTCACGGTCGTCTCTTGGATGGGGCAGAACATGCACGATCTACGACAGCGTGGTCCGGGGCAAGCTTCCGCATACCTTTGGCCCTCCACGGCTGCCCAAAGCGGATAGTGCTCTGAGGCGGAGGCGGGGAGGAGGAGAGGAGGGGGGGCCCTCCTTTTCGCCTCCTCCCTCGCCTCCCCGCCAGGAGGGGCGCTCGGGGAGCGGGCCACCCCGCACTGGCTCAGCGCGCCCGTAGCGCCGTCGACGCCGAACACCTGGCCGGCGGAGGAGGCCCGCCCCACCCTTCCCCCCTCTGGCGCTTGCTGGCCAGGCAGTGCCAAGGGGGGGCCACCACGGCCACCACTGAGGGGGCTGGCCACCTCCTCCTCCTCCTCCTCCTCCTCCTCCTCCTCCTCCTCCTCTTCCTGCTCCTCCTCCTCCCCCTCCAGGAAACCAACCCCTTCGAGCCCCGGGACTCCCAAGGACGCCCACGAAACAGCCAAGACCTTCTCGGTCCTGGATCCTCCCTCCACCTCGGCCCTCGAGTTTCAGGAGGCGGTGTCGGCCTCATCATCACGGCTTTTCCCAGTTCGGTGACGGACTCCCGTGGGCGGGACTTGCCGCAGGCAGCTGGATAGAAACTCTGGATCACTGCGGAGGGCCAGTGGCAAACCCCTCCTCGAACCCATGGCGTCGCCATTGGCGCCGCTCCCGACGCACTCATGAAATTAGCCGTTCCCTAATCAAGTGATGGATTTCGAGTTGCCACCAATTCTTCTTCCAACTCCGATCCAACTGCCCGAGGGTACACGTACGTAATTGCCACCACGGTGCCGACCAGCCGACCAGTCGTCTGCCTTCTCCTCCTCCTCCTCCTCCTCCTCCTCCTTCTGCTCCTCCTCCTCCTCCTCCTCCTCCTCCTCCTCCTCCTCCCCCTCCTCCTTCCCCCACTTCCCCGCCATAGGCATCGACAAGCTCAACTACGCAAAATGGCTGGATCCCCCTCCAGTGTCGTCGCCCACCTTCTGTGTCGAAGCAGGGCGAGACGTGCCCTGGGCGGGCGCAACTAGGCGGCTCCATGCTGACCAACGGCAAGGGTTCGGCAGCTTGGAGGCCGCGAAAAACCAGGAGGTCAAACGCACACCATGGCCGCAGAAGGGGTGGGATAGGCATCCATCTGCGGTTCCGCAACTCCGCCCGAGCAAACAAGACAGGTTGTACGTGTACATGTTGTGCGTGCGAGGCCACAGTCCACAGAAGCCTGCATGCGGCCGTCGTTGTGGACGAGTGGAGCGTCCGCTCAAGGGGAGGGGCAAATCAATAAGTCGCGGATCGACTAGCGAATCCGAGGCATCGAAAGAAACAGCATACCCAATTCGCAGCTGGTTTTGTAGCGCCTCGAGGCGCTGGACAGCGGCCAGGTACCGTGGACAGTGCCTGGCCGTGCGGCCGAAGACAGCGCTATGGAAAATCGTCGTTTGTCGTGACCCCTTGCCCACTTGTCCTCTGTCGCGAGCATTAGATGCTCGCTCTGGGGACCTTCCTGGAGCCATGCGTTCCACTCATGCGTCGATGCTACGTCGAACGTCCGTGAACTTCAGTCGAACTTGAGTCGACCTGGAGTCGAACAGATCCGCTGGGCGTTTCCCAGAAAGGTCCCCCAAACGAGCATCCAACGTGCAGGACTCACTCCTCCGACGTCTCACTGCTTGTGATCTAAGACTCTGGGGGTCGACCCTTTCCTGGGCTCTGCTCTTTTTTTCCAGAACCGTTATTTTACCATCCCGGGGCCAGCAAAGACACCCACCGGAGCCCAAAGACGTAGAGACGGTTGCCGCCACTTGCGTCGACCGGGCCTGCGGGGAAGGGGTACGAAGAGAGGCAAGAGGATGAGGCGGAGAAGGAAGAGGAGCAGCCACAGGAGATGGAGGAGGAGGAGGAGGAAGAGGAGGGGGAGGGGGGGATGGAGAGGAGGAGAAGGAGGAGGAAGAGGAGGAGGATGAGGAGGGGGGGAGGGGCAGCAGGATGAGGCGGAGGAGGAAGAGGAGCAGCCACAGCAGGTGGAGAAGGATGAGGAGGAGGAAGAGGGGGAGGGGCGAGGGGGGGGGGGGGGGAGAGAAGGAGTGATGATGATGAGATGATGATGATGATGATGAGGAGGAGGAGGAGGAGGAGGAGGAGGAGATGGAGGAGGATGAGGAGGGGGAGGAGGAGGAGGAGATGGAGAGGAGGGGAGAGCATAGAGAGGAGGAGAAGAAGGAGGAAGAGCAAGAGGGTGAGGCGGAGGAGGAGAGGAGGAGGCGGAGGAGGAGGAGGGGGAGGAGGAGGAGGGGAGGAGGAGGAGGAGGAGCAGCCACATTAGGTGGATGACGGGGCGGGGGGGGGGAACGTCAGCAGCAGGAGCGCGGAGCGAGGGATGAGGAGGGCCGAGGGGAGAGGAGGAGGAGGGAGGAAGCGGAACGAGAAGAAAAGCAGCGCGGGGACGTGAAGGAGACGGAGGAGGGGAAGGAGGGAGGAGGGAGCAAGGAGGGGTGAGGAGGGGGGTGAAGGGACGAGGGCCGAGGAGAGCGAAGCAGAAGGGAGGAGGGAGAGCAAGAAGAAGAGCAGCAGGAGGACGTGGAGGAGGCGGAGGAGGGGAAGGAAGGCGGAGGGAGCAAGAAAGGCGGGGGGGGGCTAAGAGGGACTAAGAAGGACGTGGAGGACGAAGGAGAGATAGGATGCGTAGGGAGGATAATGAAGAGAAGGAGGATCAGGAGCAGAAGGAGGCGAACATGAAGATTATGCTCATGATTGCCAGGGCGGAGGAGGGGTCTCCCGGGGAGGCCCACGAATAGAGTGTGCCCAGGCTGGGAGAGCGGGCCTGTTGCGCGGCTCCCCTCAGAAGCGAACGCAGACCACCTGGAAGATCAGCATGTCTAAGCCAGCGCCGCCTGGTGCGAGAGGTTAATGGCACGATGGGCAAGCTCAATATTGCCATTTCCGCCGCAGGCCTTCTTGACCGGAGTGCGCAAGCACTTCTTAGCTTCACTGGCGTGACCGTAGCCGTGGGGGTCATGCCTGGGATAACCCATACAAGCCAGTGGCAAGGTGAAGATTTTGTGCTGGGCCCAGAAACGAGTGAGTTTGCCCTCATTCCAGAAATCTGGGATGTCTACCCAATTGATGAGGGGAAATTTCTTCTTGATGGTCTTATCAGGTGATGCATACTTCTCCAGCCCCCATTCATGACGGAAGGTGAAATCGATTAGATCCCCAGGCACTACTCGGATCATGTCGTCATTCACGTATCCGATGGCGCTGGAAGGCTTGCCGGTACATGACCGTACGCAATAATCCCAAGAAACATGATCTGATGTGAGCCCACCAATTCCCTGAACAAAACGGAACCGTGTGTACACATAGCCAGGCTTAAACGATTCCATGCTCGGAAAATTGTTGTGAAATCCTCCGGCCCCCTGGGGGGCGCAAAGCTATGAGTCGTGCTTCTGAACTGCTGTCTCACTTTCTCTGTGTTGTATGTTAGGGTTGCCTAGTGCCTTTCCAGTCGTGGAAGTTTATACTCGGGGGGAGAAACAAACACCTTGGAGTGTGTGTGTGTGTGTGTGTGCCTCAGCCTGAGCCTGCTGACCGCAGGTTAACCCAGTACTCCCACAGGGACGCTACCAGACGGCCACGAAAGCTCAAGCTGCCTTGAACGCGATGCACAGAGGGTCCGAAGGGCGCCCCAAGGAACCAAATGTGCCTCCCAGACTGACCCCCCCCCCAGAGACAGAAAAGCACTTGAAACATGTCGTGCGCTTGGTGCGATTCGCCTGTCCTGGGCTTCGCCGTAAGCTGTCCCAAGATCGCTACGGCACGGCCGGCGGAGCTCCCGGGATTGCCCAAGACGGCCGCCCAAAGATGACCGCCCGATCTTTCAGGAAGACCCACCAGGGCCCCAAGGTGCCACAAGTCTGGTCCCAAGATGGGCCCGAGGAGTCCCAACATAGCTGCACATTGCCGTACATGTCCTAGGAGGTGGCCTGAGAGGCCCCCCCAAGCCCCCAAGCCCCAAAATGGCCCGGAGGTTACCCAAAGCCCCAAGAACTGCGCTACATTAGCCACCATATGGTTCAGCCTGGCGGGCCCGCGGTAGGGGGCGCAGCCATTCAGATACAAAATCTGGCCGTACTTTGATCAACCAATCGTATGTGGTATTGTTGGGACTGTACTGATCTGACTTCAGCCTTGAAAGGCACCTGGCACCCCGTGCTTCTTGGTCTGAAGCCGAGATCACGAACACCTTCGTTACCTCAGGAGGTGTGGGTCCAACGAGTTGGTCGACGCAGACATATATATCCACATCGTGCGTCTTCTTGATTGGGTGAACCAAATACTTGACTGTATTGTCCCAGCCATTGGAGCGGGACAGTCTCTGCCACCTCTCGTGATCTGCGTTTTCCTCCGCCCCTGTCATGCTGTCAATCAAGTTTGTTGCACTCTCTCTAGCCGCCTCTCGATGATTCAAAGTGCGCCCCACGAGCAAGATTGCGATCCGTCGTCTGGCAGGGGGCGATTGGACAGTCAAAGACACAACCGCATTGATAATCGGTCACCGTGCCCTCGGCACGCTGGAGCGTGCTGGAGTGATTGACGGTTGTCTCCCAGGGCTGCCGTGTTTGGTTACACAGAGCTTGCACGCATGGGTCCAGGAGAGCCCAGAATCAAATCGACAAGTCGGATCTACGATCGGAATAAATCGGATCGGCTGAAGTCGACAGCCGAATCGGGAGAAGTCGACTCGGAGGAAATCGACAGGACAGTATGTCTCCATTGAAGAACCGGAGTCCAAATCGGAATCCGAAGTCGAATCGAATATCGGCATCGGAGGCCTTCGAAATCGAATCGAATCGGATCGGAGGAATCGAAACGAGCCCTGTGGGTCCACCACTTCTGCCGACGAGTATAGCCGAACGGGCAGCTCTGCCGCGGCTTCGCCCGGTGGGTGGTGGCCGTGGGCGCCCGACGAGCGCCCCGCCGTGAGCCTGGCCGGCGCCGGCGCCCCCGAGGTCTCGCCGGGGGGGCGGCCGTGGCCGCCGCGCGGGCGCCCCCCCCTGCGCTGGCGGAGGCCGCCGAGGCTTTTCGCCCGGAGGGCGCGGGCCGTGGGCACCTCGTGGGCGCTTTTCGGCGGCGTGTGCCGCAGCGCTCGTGCTGCACGGCCTGCGCAAGAAATGTGCTGACGCCTCATACAGTCGGGGCGTTGGCCTGAGGAACCCGAAAGAAGGAACGAGGCCCCTACTTTCCATAAGTTGAACTTCGGTTTCATATCGACGACCTAAGGAAAACCTAAGGCAAGCTGCGAAACAAGTAAGGAACACGGAGCCCCTCCCCAATGAAAAGGGTTCCTTCTTCGGCGCCCCGACTGTAGCTTACACCACGCAGCTTGCACTGCCTGGCTTTCACCGCATAGCGTGCACCACCGCACTCGTTCCACAGGCAGCTTGCACCACGCTGCGTACCCCCCGCCCCCCCACTGTTTACACCGAGCAGCTTGCAGTACGGTGCTTGTTGCTCGCATGGCTGTTACCACATAGCCATGCACCACATAGCTTACACCCCAAGGTGCAAGAACTCAGAGTTGGAGGTCCACGCTGGCAAGCATTGCCTTAGGGGCAAGCCCCCACCCCGCTTCGCGACTTCAACAAAAAAACGCCCCCCCCCCCCCCCAGCTTTACTTCCCAGAGCCCCGTTCGGCCTCACCAAGGCTGCAGGACTGCCCAAGACTGCTCCAAGACGGCTACGAACTGTCTCAACAACAATCAAAGGTGGCCCACCGAGCCACTAGTCAGACAGAACTGATCACAAGAAGCCCCCAATAGACACCCAATGAGGCCTTCAGCGAGGCCCGAAGAGACGAACAGCATTCAAACCGCTGGGGCAATCAATGTTGGTTGCTCCCGATGCATTTCGGCTGCAGATCGCCACGGGGAAGACCTAAAAGCAGACCAAGGCGGCATTAGGAAGGCACAGAAACGGCCTCACGACTGCCCGAGACCCACCCTCGCCCAAAAAAAGGCCCAAGAGAGCTGTACGGCAACCCCAAGACTGGCCCAAATACCACCAATATGATTCCACCGAGCCTCTTGGGGAGATCTGGATCGAACCATCGCATGACAAGATGGTCCCGGGCCCCCAACGGGCCCCTAAAGCCTATAGGGTCCCCGACAGGCCCAAGTGGAGGTGCCAAGATGCCACCGAGGGCACCCAATCTCAAAAGGCCTCCAACATATCTTCGAGAGGGAAAAGAGAAGAGGGGGGGAGGAGCACAAGAAGGGGGAACGCACGAAGGAAGAAACAAGGAGAAAGAGGCTGCAGACAAACGTGAATTTGAATATCCCCACTGTTCCAGACAGGGCACTGAACTGCAGCACGTATTCAACTCAACCTCATGCTTACTGCTCCGCTGACGCGCTGACATTGTGGCGTGGTCTACCGCAGGCAGCTGGATGGTATAAAAGCACAGAACCGAAAGCATGCGTTAAGAAAGGGTTGTGCTGCAAGTTCCCTCCCCAAGGCGGCAAGAGAAAACACCTCCTTGAGCCGATACGGTGTCGTTGACAGAGGCCGACATGAGCCAAATGAACTACAGAAGCGGTGTAGCCGGGGAGGGGAACAATCATTGAATGATGTGTCGGGCATGTCCTCCTACAGGCGAATATGGGGCGGACAATAAAACATGTTCAACGCCAAATCAAAAAAAGTCCGAAACAATCAAACATCGTCCCCATACCATTTGCTGGTTTCGGTTCGTTTTCGGCCCCCCGCGATTCTGAGATGTTTGCTGAAACGCCTGCGTATTCTTCTTTATCACTCCTCTTCCTCGTCGTCCTCCTCGTCCTCGTCCTCTTTTCCTCGTCGTCCTCGTCGTCGTCCTCGTCGTCACCCTCACAACAGGAACCCTTGGGAAAGCATCACAAAGGGATTCCATTGGAAAGCCTCTCAACTGGATCCCTTGGGAAAGCACCACAGAGGGAGAGCTCAGCGCCGCAGGTACGACCCCCTCCCCCGACCTCCTCCCTAAGGCTTCTCTCCGTCCTCCTCCCCCTCCTCCCCAATCCCCCCTTCTGAAGGAATGCAAAAACATTGGGACAATTATGGGAAACATGAAGAACAAATAAATTGAAGTGCTGGAGGCGAAAACATTTAGGAACCCATTGGAAACACCAAAACAAATATTCCAAGGAACACCCGTCCGAAGGGACACGTCCAAAGGGAATCCCCACACTCTCTGTGGAATATTTATGTGTGTGTGTTATTTTTGTGTGGTTTGTTTTTTTCGTGTGGTGTTCCTAAAGTTGTTGCCTCCAGCTCTAGAGTTTCTTTGTTTTTGTTTGTTATGTTCCAATGGGTTTCCCAAAGCTTGTGCGTTCCTTCAGAAGGGGGATGGGGGAGGAGCTCCAGACTGGATGGGCATAGGGCGCTTTCGGTCCACAAAGGCTTCGAAAAGGAACCACTCTCATTCCGACTCAGGCGGGAGCCTCGTTTTGTTTGCGTTTTAGGGGGGCTTCTCAGGCGGGAGCCGGAGGGAACCATGAGGGAACCATGGGGGGAGCCATGAGGGAGCAGTGCATGGGGCGGGGGGGCATCCTTCTCATCTCCCTTCTCTCCTCATCCTCATCTCCTTGTATCCTGATGGTGTATCTTCTCCTCCTCCTCCTCCTCCTCCCCCTCCTCCTGCTCCTCATCCTCTGCTCCTCTCGCTTCCTCATATTCCTCATCTTCCTTCTCATCTTCATCGTCCTCATGCTCATCGTCATCCTCTTCAAACCTTGAGAAAACCAAAGGAACAAACAAAAAACAACAAAAAACAACGACGATGACGATGACGATGACGGTGGCGATGCTACTGCTGGTGATGCCAATCACGATGATGGCGACGATGGTAATGATAATGGTGATTAGGATGAGGATGAGGATGAGCATGATGATGATGATGATGATGATGATGATGCTGATGATGATGATGATGATGATGATGATGATGATGATGATGATGATGATGATGATGACGAGGAGGAGGATGAGGAGGAGGAGGAGGAGGCGGACGACTATGTTGATGATAGTGATGGTGAGAAGAGGAGGAGGAGGAGGAGGAGGAGGAGGAGGAGGAGGAGGAGGAGCAGGAGGAAGATGAGGAGGAGAGCGCAGTAAAAACGACGACGATGAGGGGGAGGCGCCAGCGGAGATGGGAGGAGGGAGGACAGGAGGGCCGGCAACCACGCTCCCATCTGGCCCAAACAACAAACCTCTCTGGAGACGATCTTTTTTACTTCCGCCAGCCTTCCGTCGGCGGAAGCCGTCCTCGTTTTACTGCCGCCAGCTCCCGCCGCGGAAGAGGCGCTCAGGTGATGCGGGCCTCGGAAAAATTAGCGAACACTCATGCCACAGTCGTCTGTCAACGCCGTGCCCCCTCCCCCCAATGTTCAAAGTTGGCGGTGGGTCCCGATGAGCTGCACCTCGACCGCAGTCTCCCCAGGCGCGTGCCAACTCTGAGCTTTTGGGGGGAGGCGGAGTGTTCAGTAAGTAGGCCTCTCTACCGTGCCAATCACCGTTGCGACAGTGGACCGCGCGTCTGCGCGTCCGCCCGCCTGCGGGCCCGCGTGCAGCGCGTGACGCGTGCCCGTGCCCCGAGCCGCTCTGCTGCCCGGGTGCTGGACAGCGCATGTCTGGCAAGCGGAGCGCCTGCTTCTCGAAGCGTCCCGCACGAGTCCGCCAACTCCTCTCGGTGGTGCCAAGGGATGGGGCCCTGAGGGATGGGGTCCTGAGGATCGGAAGGGGTCCGAGGGTGGACTGGCACTGCTGCCTGGCACCTCGCCCCCAGGACCCACCCCGTCGACCCCGACCTTGAGCCAGCGACCCTCGGCCCCATCGTCGAAGGCTTGGCCCTCGCTGGAGCGCGCCCTCGGCAGCTCGCCGCCCGAGAGGAGGCCGACGTGGCGCTCTCCCGCCCGTGGCGCTCCCGCCAGTGGCGGCGCGAGCCTCTCTCGCCCGAGCCCCGCCTCGCGTAGTTAACTACCGCGCGCGGCTGGCGGGGCGCCCGCGCCGGCGCAAGGAAACGCGCCCGTGGACACGCATACCGCGGTGTCGTGTCGTGTCGACCCTGGCGTTGGTTCCTGACACCGCGGGGATCTCTCGACCTTGAACGCTCGGCCGTTCCCGAAACTTCCGATCGTCCAACATCGATGGATTCTGGGTCGCCGGCGGCGTTCAACGTTGAACGCGGGCGGCGGGTTCGTCGCTGGTCGACACGACGCGAACCTACAGTAATTAGGTCGTCGGCGGGCTGCTCGTCGCCGAGGCGGCCGCGGTGAGGGCAGCCTCTGCCTGGGCGTCGGGCGGCTCCCAGGGAGGGCAGCGCCCCGAGCGTGCACCAGGGCCTCTCTTGGGGGAGCTGCCGGGCAGGCCAGACCGGGCGGGCTTGGCCCGCTGCCGCCTCTGCGCGTGGCGGCCACCCAAGACTGCGCTTCGCGCCCGGGGGAGGGCGGCGGCGACGTCGACGTCGACGTCGACGTCGACGTCGACGTCGTCGTCGTCGTGGTCGTCGACGACGACGACGACGACGATGACGACGACGACGACGACTGGGGAGGAGCAGAGGAGACGACGAGCATGAGGAGGGACGAAGGGAGAGGGCGGGATGAGCAGGAGCAGTCGAAGCAGCAGCAGAGGAGGGGGGCGATCACGAGGAGGAACAAAGGGAGAGGGCGGGACGAGAGCCCGCCCCGCAGGAACAGGATGATGGGCCAATTTCCACCACCCCTACCACAGGTCGGACGGGGGAGGAGGGGAGGATGGGGAGGTCCTCCTCCTCCTCCTCCTCCTCCTTCTCCTCCTTCTCCTCCTCCTCCTCCTCCCCCTCCTCCTCCTCCTCCTCCTCCGCCTCCGCCTCCGCCTCCGCCTCCTCCTCCTCCTCCTCCTCCTCCTCCTCCTCCTCCTCCTCCTCCTCCTCTCTCCCTCCTCTGCCTGTGGCAGTGGTGGTGGACAAACCGGCCCATCGCAGGAGGGGGGCCCTCTGCAGCGGCACCGCGGCGCCGCGAGGAGCGGCGGCGGCGGCACGGCGGCGGCACGGCGGCGGCGCACCGCCACGTCGCCGCTGCCGAGCCCCACCAGCAGGCGGCGCGAGCCGCCGAGCTGCGCGAGGGCGGCCGAGCGCGGCAGCGCGGGCAGCGCGTGCCGGCAGCCCTCGCCGCTGCCGGTCGTCGTCGTCGTCGTCGTCGTCGTCGTCGTCGTCGTCGTCGTCGTCGTCGTCGTCGTCGTCGTCGTCGTCGTCGTCGGCGTCGGCGTCGGCGTCGGCGTCGGCGTCGGCGTCGGCGTCGGCGTCGGCGTCGGCGTCGTCGTCGTCGGCGTCGTCGTCGTCGTCGTCGTCGGCCTCGCCGCAGCCGCCGCCCGCCCTGAGATCCGAGGCCGCAAGAGAGTGAGGCATCGCGCGAAGTCGCGACTGGAGCCCCCATCTTCCCGCTGCGGCACCTCCAGGCAACATCCGACGATGTGACTATTTCAGGGAGCGCGGTCTACCGTCGTTTGACTGGAACAGAAATACGCCACACACCCCACCCGGGAAACTCTGGAGGGGGGGAACCCCCCCTGCCCGTGAGCTGGGGGGGTGGCACAGGAGCCCGCCCCCTCCCCGGTTCGCGGGGGGGAGGAACCCCCTCTACCTGGAAACGGGAGGGGGTACAAACTACCCCCCCTCTGGATCGATCGAACCGGGGGGGAGGCGGAACGACCCCCTCCCCGCCCTACATTGGAACCAATCAGGAACTTTGTTTGAGCTTTTTGATTGAGTTGTTTGGTTGAGCATTGTTCGAGTTTTGATTAAGCTGTGTTTGAGCTTTATGTGAGCTTTGTTTGAGCTTTGTTTGCGCTTACGTTGAGCTTTGGTAGCGCCTTGCATGAGTTTTGTATGGGCTTTGTTTGAGCGTTATGGAGCATTGTTTGAGCTATGTTTGAGCTCTGTCTGAGCTTTGGTGGAGCCCTGCTGAAGCTCTGTTTGACCTTGCTGGATCTTTGTTAGATATGTGTTAGAGCTGTGTTGGAGTTCTGCTGGAGCTCAGTTGAAGCTCCGTTCGAGCTTTGTTTGAGCTTTGTTTGATATTGATTAAGAGTTGTTAGAGCTTTGTTTGAGGTTTGCTTGTGCTTTAGTGGAACTTTGTTTGAGTTGTGTTTGAGTTTTGTTTGAGCGTTGTTTGAGCTTTGTTCGAGATTTGTCCGACCTTTGGTAGGGCTTCGTGTGAGCTTTGTTTGAGCTCCTCCCCTCTCCCCCCCTCCTGGGTTCGGAGTGGGAGGCTTAGAAAACCCCCCTTCCCCCTGGCTCGAACCGGGCGGGCACGAGAGGAGCCTACGCCCAGCTGGAGGCCCACCACATGCATCCCCTTCAACGAAGAAACAGGGACCACCGCCACCGAGGACCAACCGGGGGGGGGGGGAGGGCCAACCCATGGGCGGTGGCATGCCTGAGCGTCGTCCTGTGCTGGGTGACGCTCGGGCGTTCCACCGCCCAGGGGAGGGCCCCCATCGACCATCGATGGGCTCTCGGTGGCAGGAGTCTCCCCACACATCCGGCGCCTCGATTCTTCTGAGACCCGGGCCCCCGACCCCTCGACCACTTCCGCAGGACCAAATCTTCACCCCGACTCGTTGGCCGACGGCCCCGAGGCCCGGG